CACACACACCCACACACCCACACACCCACACACCCACACACCCACACACCCTCAGAGCTGTGAAAGCCATCCAGTTGCTTGTGCGAAGCAGCATTGAGGCCAGGCCTTGAAAGCTGAGTAAGGTTTTACAGGCAAGGGTGAGAGTAAGACCCTCCAAACAGGGATGAGCTCAGAGGCCCAGCAGTGAGATTGTGTAAGGGGCACTGACTACCCTGACTTGCAGACCCTGGAGCCCTGGTAGTGGGGTTTCCTTCTTGCAGTCACATGTGTGTTCCTGTCATCTGTGGGAGTGCTGCTTTGTAGTTTGCTCTGAGCATTACCGTTCTCATTTCTGACATTCCTCTTCAATGTGATTCAGAACCACGCTGTTCAGGGTGGGCATTTTTCTGAGCTTAAGCTACAGGGAGGAGACAGGGCTCCCCAGAAGGCAAGTCACTCACAGCCTGGGGAACACAAGACTCCTTGATCCTGGCACACCTTCTGTCTTCTCTCATGGTGACTTTATTTCACTGGGTTGAGAACTAGAGAAATTCAGTGGTATTTATCTTTGTGAAGGTAGGGCAGGAAACACTATCCGGATGTAAGAATCGGGACAGATGAGTGCTCCTACCTGGGGTTTCACCATCTAACTAAACTTTCCCAGAGCACTCGCTAGGCCCTGGGGACCCACAGATGAGCCTGACCGGTCCTCTCCCTTGGTTTAGAGGACAGGTGTGGCTGCAGAGCCCAGGTTGTACTCTGTGCTGGAGAGGTTCCCAGAGGCGTTAGGACTCCTTGGAACCTGGAGGGATGAGCTAGACCAGGTGGGAGCAGGGGTCTGAGCAGAGGGAAGGAGCCAATCTGTGTGGGTTTAGGCAGGTTGCACTAGGAAGTGCTGGGCCTCTGGAATGAATAGAGGCTAGTGCACGGACAAGCCTGGAACACGTTAAGAGAAACGTTTGTTCTTTACTCTTGCGAATTTTGCCAGTTCCTACAGTGATGCATTGTTGCTGGGTTTATTTTTTTCTGAATGTGCAGGCAGCCTCTATTCCAGATTACCGGGGCCCTAATGGAGTGTGGACACTGCTTCAGAAAGGGAGAAGCGTTAGGTAAGCAGCCCAGGGCAGCCTTCCCACTCAGTCGAGCAGAGGCAGCATGGGCCTGCCCTCACAGCTCCCCACACCTGTGCTTCCCTTCCACCTGGCAGTGCTGCTGACCTGAGTGAGGCTGAGCCAACCCTCACCCACATGAGCATCGCCCGCCTACACGAGCAAAAGCTGGTAAGAACCTGGTGCGGCTAGCAAGTATGTGGCTAGCAAGTATACTTGCTGGGTGCCTGATGCAGAACCTGGAGGGCCACCTTCGTGCCCAAGTAGCAACTGCATCGTGTCTCTGTCAGCCATTGGACCCGTGGGATGAGCGCTTACCCAGTGTTTTAGACTCCTGGCTTGAGTGTCTCTCAGGAATCATGTATAGGGTCTGCCTCAGGCCCAGAGCTGCTGGTGGCTCTTTCTCCCCTGTGTTTCTATCACATTGTCCACACAGATCTTAGAAGCCACCTAGATAAAGGGGAAGCTCATGGGAAACCTTTGGGAACCCTCTGCTGAGTACTTTCAGCCAAGTGGGGAAGGATCCATCCTCCCGGTCCTTCGGTGACTTGAAACCTAATGAGCCAAGAGAGTGTCAGTCTGGGCCCTTCCCAGCTGAGAGCAAACACCTGCCCTCCTAGCTCGCCAAGTGCTTCAGAGCTGTTGTGGGCAGCCTGGGGCCCTTCCCACCGAGGGCCCTCCCAAGTTGTGCTGGGGCCGGCCTGCCTCTCTCTCGTTTTGCCTTTGAGGCTTCATGCAGGGTTGGAGTCGCCCCCGGCTTAGGGGCTCTGGGTGGGGTTAAGGATGGTGTCCCTGCTGAACACAGTCCCCTACAGCCCCCTTGCTGCCTTGCCCCTGTCTCCCGTCCAGGTGCAGCATGTGGTGTCTCAGAACTGCGATGGCCTCCACCTGCGGAGTGGTCTGCCTCGCACGGCCATCTCCGAGCTCCATGGGAACATGTACATTGAAGTGAGCGGTCCCGCTGGGATTCGGGGGCCTGTGCGGGCCATCGGCTCCTGCTCACAGTGCTCTCTCCTCAGGTCTGTACAGCCTGCACTCCCAACAGGGAGTACGTGAGGGTGTTTGATGTGACCGAGCGCACCGCCCTGCACCGGCACCAGACGGGCCGGGCCTGCCACAAGTGCGGGGCCCAGCTCCGGGACACCATTGTGCACTTTGGGGAGAGGGGGACGCTGGGGCAGCCTCTGAACTGGGAGGCAGCCACTCAGGCTGCCAGCAAAGCCGACACAATCCTATGTTTAGGTTCCAGTTTAAAGGTACGTGAACAGCACCACGGATGGAATGGGAGGGGAGTGAGCCTGCCAGCCCCTTGCCAGTTCAGTGTTAGACCCTAGCTTCCTAGAGCTTCATTCCCCATTGTGTGTGTGGTGCTTTTGTCTGTCCGTCCGTTCCTACAGGTTCTGAAGAAGTATCCTCGCCTCTGGTGCATGACCAAGCCCCCCAGCCGGCGGCCCAAGCTCTACATTGTGAACTTGCAGGTGAGTTGCGCACCGAGAGATACCTCTTTAGATCTGGACCTTAGAACAGGAGAAACAGAGTTCCTGGGACGTTGGTGTCCTGAACTCATGGGCCACAGAGGTCTGGCTGAGAAAGGGCCATTGGGAGGAAGTGAGGTGTCCTCACTCGCCTTCCCCTGTCCCCAGTGGACCCCAAAGGATGACTGGGCTGCCCTGAAGCTTCACGGGAAGTGTGATGACGTCATGCAGCTCCTCATGGATGAGCTGGGCCTGGAGATTCCCCCCTATAGCAGGTGAGGGGGGCACGGGTGCATCCCCCCCTTTTCCTGCCCCTGTGTGGATGGGCCGTGTCTGTCTTTTCTCGTGAACTGAGCATAGAGAACGCTCTGAGTTGTTGCAGATGGTGTCTGAGGTGTGACTGCAGCCTGGTGGCCCCCTCAGGGAGCAGCTGAGGCATCAGCTAGGGCGCCCTGGCTGGTGTGACTCCCTGCAGGGAGAGGGAATGTGCCAGTGTGCACCTGGAGAGTCCCCCTTCTACCTCAGACAGCCTGGACGGGAAGGTGCCTTGAAGGGACATGGTCTCGGCAACTTCAGTCAGACAGAATCTTGGTGCACATGGTTTGGGGAGCTGGCATACTTTGGGGAAGCTTAAACTGTACCTTAATACAGAATTTGTGATAATTTAGACGTGGTATATGTATTGAGTAAAAAGTTTACACTTTCTTTCTCTGTGAATTTTCAGGGTCTTATAGGGGAAATCAATAACTTCTTTTAATCAAAGGGTTCAAGAATTAAGGATCCCTTCACCTTCTGGGCCTGGCAATTCTTGTATGTTATGTTTGTGGTGTTCTGTAATGTGGGCCTATTGTGTACTGTACTTTTTTTTTTTTTTTTTACATTAACTTAGCTCATTTTCTTTATCAGTGCTTATCTGTATCTTAAGTTTATAATATGTGGTTCTACATCTCAGTCAGACACATGATCTCTTCATGGTGTAGTCTATAGGCCACACCTCCCTAGTCAGCTGGCCTTCCCCCCCCCCCCCATCAAGTCTTGCAGTCTGGGAAGAGGGAGAGGGTCTGGTCCACTTGCCCCTGGCCATACAAGTGAAAGGTGGGGTCCAGCGTTACTAGTGATTCACCCCTCTTGGAGCTACTGCTGCCCCATCCTGGGTGTGCACGCCCTGCTCCATCACCAGCAGGGACACTTGAGTTCTGCAGAGGCTGAGCTAGTGTGAGTGATGACCTTTGAGTTACTTGGGGAGCTTACCCCTCTTGTAGCTGTTCTGTAGCTCAGGAACAGTGGATCTGCCACTAAGCAAAGCCTGGCCACAGTTAAGACAAGGGGGAGGGAAGCAGGGCGACCTCAGTCAGCTTTCCCGCCCTGGGGCAGGTTGTGACAGAGGCTCCCAGGCATGCCTGACCTAGCTTTCCCTTTTCGGTAGGTGGCAGGACCCCATCTTCTCCCTGGCGACTCCCCTACGTGCAGGTGAAGAAGGGAGCCACACACGGAAATCGCTGTGCAGAAGCCGGGAAGAGCCCCCGCCTGGAGACCGGGGTGCACCACTTAGCTCAGCCCCCGTCCTAGGTGGCTGGTTTGGCAAGGGCTGCACTAAACGCACAAAAAGAAAGAAAACGTAACCTGGTGCTGGACAAGAACAATTGGCACTTTGCAGATGATGGAACTCTGATTCAGGGGCAAGGCCAGGACTGCCCCCGGGTCCTGTGAGCATCCTCCCGGGAGGACTGCTTGGCCCTTGGTCCTAGCGGGAGCCCCCTTGCACTGTTGTGGCCGCCTCGGGCATGGGCCTTCGGAGGACACCTGGCCTGTCCAGCCTCTTCTGAGAGAGGTGGCAGCCATGCCTTCGCGCGAGAACAGAACTCGGGTTATCTCACACCTGGCCAGTCAGGAGGAAGCACACGGCTGCCTTTCCTCCTTCACGGCTAGTCTCAGGGGCCTCAAGCCTATTTCTACTGCTTACTAAAACACGGTGACTTTATAGCAACTTTTTCTGAATTGGGTTTGCGGCAGAGGGGTGGTTTTGAGCCTGGGCTCTCAGCAGGCCTTTTTGTCATTAAACGTCTTTGCACTGTCGCGCGCGTGTCCTCGAATGACTGCCCTACGGGGGCGGAGACGGGCGCGGGCGCTCCTTGGGGGAAGCGGTTGGGGCCCCACGTGGTCTTGCCCCGCCCCCTCGGCAAGGTGCGCGCAAGCTATTGGCCCAGCGCGCCGGAGGGCGGGGTCTCCGGGGCACGCGGTAGGCGGCCAGGCGGGGCGGGGCTCGGCTCTGGCGGCTCACGCCATTGGTTGCGCGCGGCCGGTGGGGGGGAGGGGCTCCGGGGGAGGGGCGGTGCTCGCCATTGGCCGCGCGCGGCGGGTGAGGCCCGCGTGACGGCGCGTGCGCCGGGCGGGGCGGGACGGGGCGTGCTCGGGGCGGGCGGGCGGCGGCCGCTGGGAGTCGCGGAGCCGGCCGCACCGCGCCGCCGCTGCGGGGCCATGATCCGGAACGGGCACGGGGCGGCAGGCGGTGCACAGCCGCCGGGTCCGGAAGGCAGGCGCGCCGTGCGAGTGTGGTGCGACGGCTGGTGAGCTCGGCGGCGGCGGCGGCGGCGGCGGGCGGGCCGGGGGCGGGGACGGCCGGGCCCGGAGCCCCGGGGCGGCCGTGCGTAGCGAGTGGCAGGCGGAGGCGGCCCGGGCCTACGGCTCCCGGTCCCGGCGCCCTCCTGGGGACGCGGGCGCTCCTGCTCCAGGGTCCGCCGCTGAGCCGCCCGCCTGGCCGCCTGAGTCTGGCCGGTGGTGGCGCGAGTCGAGTGTGTCCGGTCCCGACGAGCGGGATCACTTCATACCCGGGGAGCCGTGCGCCCGGAGCGTCTTCGCGGCGGTCTCCGTGCCCGGCTCTCCAGCCTGCCTGCCGCAAGGTCGGAGGGATTCTCCCGGGTGTCTGGGCAAGCGTCGGGGCAGGAATTGCCTGTGTCCACGACCCCCAGTGAAGCCCCTGGGCTCCGGGGTCCCTCCCAGGAGGGCCACAGTGCCCATCCGTTCTCTCCTCTGGCCGGCCGAGACCTGGAGTTGTTTCCAGATAAGTTTGGGGCTGTCAGCAGATAAGAGAAAAAACCGACTTCTACTGATAGCTTGTCCGTTGTGATGCTCGCTCATACTTTCGCTTGATGGAATCAGAGAAAGAACAGTTGATGGCTTCAGAGGAGAGCGACGGTGTGTGTGGGGGGGTGGCTGCCATACCTTTGCAGCTGTACCTGAGTCACCTTGGGTAGAGGGAGCATGGCTTCATGTTGGTGGACTCTGACCTTGGCCCTGGTCTGACCAGGCCCCTGCGGCGGCAGGCCACCCATGGCCGCTAGGACACACCCCAGACCCAGCACCACCCTGCAGTCCGAACTGTGCACCCCCAGCCCAGCCTGTCCAGTGAGCTCAGGGGCCAGCCAGGCCGCTGGATTTGGACTCTCCTTTTCTCTCACCCCAGGGCCAGAATCGTGTGACCCCACAGGCTTGTGTGCTGGGACCTGGTGTGCTGTGGTGGGAGTAACAGGTGTCAGGGAGCGGAAGAGCTCTGTGCACCGGGTGGCCTGAGTCACCTGGAGAAGCAGGGACACTGTCACCTACTCAGGAGACAACGTGAGGCTTTGGAAGGAAACAGAGCTGGTGTGGGGCCAACTTGGGGTCCTCCGCAGCACACACGGAGCAAGTGGGCCTCTAGCTGAGAAGCTACTCCTTAATCAGGCCCAGATTTGAGGATAAGAGCTCTAGAACCAGCTTGTAGGGAGGTGGTTGTTGGCCCCAGAGAGCAAAGCCTCGTTGAGTCTCTGGAGGCCATGGGAGAGCGAGCAGGATTTCCAAAACTAGCAATAGCCTTCACGCATTTGTCAGACTTTGTTTCGTGTTGGTCCCGAAGACTGTCCACTTGCCTCAGGGTAGTACAGAGTCCAGCCCAGTTTAATGTCAGTTTACAGATTAAAGGGCCTGCCCCCCATTGTTTGCATTTGGTGAGAGGAGGGCCTGAGGGCAGAGGGCAGGGCTCTGTGGCACCTGTGGGGAGCCGAGGCTGTTCTGTGTGCTCACCAGCCCTGGGGACCAGCAGGCCTTGTTCCTGGGCACAGCCCAGCCCCTGCTGTGCTTGTTAAATCTGGACCAGGGACCAGTGGTGTGGGGAGCTGAGTGCCCACCTCCCCTCTGAAAGCCCAGGCTCGGCCAGACCCCGGAGCAATTCCCAGTGGCAGCTTCTCAAAGGCCTTCCTAAGGAAGCCTCAGAGGAGCAAGGCTGCACCCCCCCACACACATACCCACTCCCAGCTACTCAATCCCACCCTCTGCCCAGGGACTCACCATTTTGTCCTTTCCACAGCTATGACATGGTGCATTACGGTCACTCTAACCAGCTGCGCCAGGCACGGGCCATGGGCGACTACCTCATCGTGGGTGTGCACACCGATGGTAAGCTGGGGCTGCTGCCTTTGACCTTACAGGGCCCTGCAAGGGGTCAGGCCAGGCCCAAGGCCATCCTTGCGAAGAGCACAGCCCAGCCCCTTCATGCCACCTGCAGCCCCAGGCTGAGCCCACTCAGGGCTTTCCACCTTGCAGCTCAGCTGGTTGATTGAGCAGTGCAGCCAAGGGATCACATTTCTGGCCCTGCTGCCCACTTCCCCTCCCTGCACAACCTGGTTCCCGGGACCCTGGAGAACGGAGCGCCTGGTGGTCTAAGGACTTCACCTGGAACTCTGGTTGGGTGAGGGAACCACGCAGTTATCTAGCAAACACATCCTGAGCACTTGTATTGGCCCATAGGGACAGGGTGGTGTCCTGCCCTTGTGACAGGCTGAGGGCCCAGGGAGAGAGCTGCATGCTACGAGCTCACATGTGGTTACAGACTCTGCTTGGTGCTGGGAGGGGGCTCCCGAGGCCAGCGAGCCTGTGGTCCAGCCCTGCAGAGATCATCTGTCTTGTCTCTGGCTCTAGAGGAGATCTCCAAGCACAAGGGGCCCCCGGTGTTCACTCAGGAGGAGAGGTACAAGATGGTGCAGGCCATCAAGTGGGTAGACGAGGTGGTGCCGGCGGCTCCCTACGTTACCACGCTGGAGACACTGGACAAGTACAGCTGCGACTTCTGTGTCCATGGCAGTGAGTGGGTGGGGCTGGGGCCCAGAGTGCCGGGGCCTCCGGGCGGGCCGGAGGGCAGCCGGGGTGCTGGGGCCTCCCCACACTTTGGGGAGCAGCACCGAGCCTTTCGAGGATCTGAGAAGGCCTCGGGTCCTTTCCCAGAAAGAGCCCGTGCACACCGGGGCCAGCCTGGGATGAGGGTTGAGGGTCCTGTAGGCCCACGTGGTCTGGGTTGAGAATCCTCGTTCTCACACGTGTGATGCTCCTTAGATGACATCACGCTGACCGTAGATGGCCGTGACACCTACGAGGAAGTGAAGCAGGCTGGGAGGTACAGGTGAGTCCTGGTGAGGGTCCCACCTTGTCAGGAATGGGGCTTGAAGCTCCCCCCAGGCTCTTTCTGCCTGCGAGGAAAATGGCCAGGACCGGAACAGGGTGGACATGCTGCCTAGTGGGGCTTCGAGTGTCGTAGACCTGTGCCGTCCCGTGTGGTCCCGTGTAGTCACAGGGTGGCTGGCCAGCTGTAAGAACGGGGGCTGTGGCCGGGGAGCGGGTGTATTTTCGTTACCTAACTCAGAAAGCCATGGTGGCCAGTGGCTTCTGCCCCAGCAGCGCGGCCTGGAGTTCCCCTGGCCTTGCTGGACATGGGTGTGGGGGGGACCTGCCCACCCAGCCCTGCACACTTGGGACTTAGCAACGCTTCTGCTCTGTCATTTCCTTCAGTGGATGAAAGCGTAGCGGCCTTCCCCGCGCTCCTGGTCCTGGTTTTCTGTCGCGGCCCGAGAGCAGCACGGAGCTGCCTGGTCCACACACAGCATGGTGGGGGGCTGGGCCGCAGCAGGGCCGCCCTCAGGTGGGGTGAGCTGGAGGTGGGAACTTTGGAGCATGTCCAGGATGCGAGCCCTGACCCCACCTCTGTCCGCAGAGAGTGCCGGCGCACCCAGGGCGTGTCCACCACGGACCTCGTGGGCCGCATGTTGCTGGTGACCAAGGCCCACCACAGTGGTCACGTGAGTCTGGGGGCGACAGGGGTGGGATCCCCGAGGTCCCAGGGCTGAGGACACTGCTGGGAGGGAGGGAGCACCCGATCTGCCCTGTCCTTGCCTCTCTGGGCTCCAGGACAGCAAGTTTTGAGGCCCTGGGGTCGACCATGTCTCGGGGGGTGAGGCTCCTCAACGTCCCCCATCCTTCCATTCAGGAGATATCCTCTGAGTACCGGGAATATGCAGACAGCTTTGGTAAGGTGAGTGTTGCCCATACTAGCCAGGCCAGTACCTGATGCCCCCCAGGCTGCCCCTGGGGGAGGGCTGGCCGGGACGCTCACCTGGCTTCCTGCCTTCCAGGCACTGCCTGGGTACTGGCCCCCGGAGGAGGAGCAAGGACTGCCTTCGAGCAGGTGGCCTCTAACCAGGTGGCCTGGTCTTCTCTCCCTTTGTAGTCCCCTCACCTGACACCCGCCAGGGAGACACTCTCAGGAGGCTCCTCCCAGGTGACCAGAAAGTGGCTCAGGGCACTGGGTCCCCACAAGGGCAGTGTCCACTCCTGGGCCACACGTCCCACTGGTCACCGGGGTCTTCTCCAGCCTGGCCTTGGTGTGGGCTGGGCACTGCTGGCTAGCCCACGGTGTCCTGCCAGAGGTGTGTGCCTGCTAAGAGCACACATGTGACCGAGTGAGCTGGCAGGCTGAGCTAGGGCTTTGGAGTTCTGGGCTGTCGCCCCCATACCTGCTCCCAGACAGACAGGCAGGTGCAGGCGGCCCCGGCCGCAGGAGAGGGGCTATGGGGTGGGAGCAGATCAAGGACATGCCTGCAAGGCATCGGTCACTGACCAGAGTGCTCTCGGCTTCCAGTGCCCTGGGGGGCGGAACCCCTGGACAGGGGTGTCACAGTTTCTGCAGACATCTCAGAAGATCATCCAGTTTGCTTCCGGGAAGGAACCTCAGCCAGGGGAGACGGTCATCTACGTGGCCGGCGCCTTCGACCTGTTCCGTATCCTCTGGGACCAAGTGGGAGGGTGGCCCCACCCTGGCCCTGTGTGCACCCCTGGGTCGTGGGACGGCCCCCAGACTGGGGTGGAGCTCGAGGGAACCTGCTGGAGCCCCTGGTCCTGCGGGCAGCTGCTCCTTTCCCTGTTACTTGCTTCTTAATCTGGGTACAGACATCGGCCATGTGGACTTCCTGGAGAAGGTGCACGGCCTGGCAGAGAGGCCATACGTCATCGCCGGCTTGCACTTTGACCAGGTCTTGCTCCCTGGCCAGCTGATAGGGTGTGGGGGCCCTTGAGGGGCTCCTGGGTTTGAGGTTGGGTGCAGGCAGCCCACAGGGGTGAGGCTTGGGGTGCTGATAGAGGCAGAGGAGACACACCGGGGCCTTTTCCTGGGGACTGGGGCTTCCCCACACTAGCGGGCACCCATGAGGGGCTGTCGGGGAGATTCCAGCCCCCACCTGCCCGCGGCTGCCCGCTCACCTGAGCTCACTCTGGCTCTAGGAGGTCAACCACTACAAGGGGAAGAACTACCCCATCATGAACCTGCATGAGCGGACCCTGAGCGTGCTGGCCTGCCGGGTATGGGCCAAGGCGGGTGCGCTGGGTGGGGTCTCCTGTCCAAGCCGGTGGGGAGGAGGGGGCAGTGAGGGCATCCAGGAGCCTCGAGCTTCCGGCCAGCCAGCCCCACCATGCTGCCCCCCTTCCCGCCCAGTCCCTGCTTCCTTACCATCGAGCGCTCTCTCCCACCACCCTCTGACCTAGCAGGGTCTGAGCTAACCCTGTGTTCCCTGTCCCCATAGTATGTGTCAGAAGTGGTGATCGGGGCCCCCTATGCGGTCACAGCAGAGCTCCTGGACCACTTCAAGGTGAGGCTCCTAGTGGGCCAGGTCCCAGGGAGGGCCCTCTGAGTGCAGGGCGCCAGTCTCCCTGACCCCCGTTCCCTCCCCAGGTGGACCTGGTATGTCATGGGAAGACGGAAATCGTGCCTGACAAGGACGGCTCAGATCCTTACCAGGTGGGTCGTGCTGGGCCCTTGCTGGGCACGAGGTGGTTGTTGTGTGATGTCCCCAGCCTCCTGCCCCCTCACCCCCCGGGCTCACAGTGCCTGTCTGGGAGCTTGGCTGGGGGTTAACTGCCAAGTGGCCTCCCGGGATGAGGAGGCGGGTTGCTAAGCAGCGGGAGTAACCGTACCGGTGTCCTGGTCCTCCTGGGGTGAGGACCCTCCGGGCCCAGGCAGCTGGGCAGTCTCCTCGGGGTCCAGAGGAGGGCCCTCATCTCCTCTCCCTACCCTCTGGCCTCCAGGAGCCTAAGAGAAGGGGCATCTTCTGTCAGATCGACAGCGGGAATGACCTTACCACGGACCTCATCGTCCAGCGCATCATCAAGAACAGGTGAGGGAGAGGTCCTGGCTGGGCCTGGTGGGGGCGCAGCCAGCCACTGAGGCCCCAGGCCTGGGCACACAGCTCACCACAGCCCGGCCCCCAGGCTAGAGTATGAGGCCCGGAACCAGAAGAAAGAGGCCAAGGAGCTGGCTTTCCTGGAGGCCAGGAGGCGGCAGGAGATACAGCGCGAGAGGGAGAGCGACTGTGACTTCTGAGCAGAGGGTGGTCACGCAGCGTGCCCACGGGCCAGCCCCTCCCTGCCCTGCTTCCCATGCCTTGAGGGTTTGGTTTCCACAGTTTTTAGCAAGGCTGCAGTGTTCCCTCTCCGCCTGGCCTGCTCTTGGAGGACGCTGCCCCCCTCCGCACCAGCACGGGGGGGCGGCCCAGTGGGCGGGATGAGCAGCGGGCACCTTCAGCCAGAGGGGCGCCACCCTGTGTGCCCGTGAAGGCCCAGCTTCTGCTCCCCCCCCGCAAGCCCCCGCAGACCCAGGATACCCCTACCGCCTGGCACTTCCTGCCTTCCTGGCCTCGCTGGAAGCCGGCTTCAGGGGAGCAGTGACCTGAAGGGGGCACCCCCTTTCCTCCTCAGGGCACAGACTATGCCACCTCCTGTGTGGGTACCCTGGGCCTGGCTCTTAGGCACTGTGCGCCCCACTTCCCGGGCCAGCCTTGCTGCTCTCCCCACAGACTGTTCTCGATTTTGTATCTGACTGGCTGGTGAACAACCAAATAAACCTGGTGGGAGGTATTCTGTGTCCGGCTCTTGGCTCTGCTCCGCACCACCATCCACATGGTGGGGGGCCGGGGGGAAGCTGGCAGCCTGGCAGCGAGGCATCCCCCAGTTTAGGACCCCCAGACGCCTCAGGCTGCCTCCCTTGGAGCATAACGGAGGGAGGGGCAAGAGCCCAGTGGGTGCTTGTCCCCAGAGTCTGTCACGAGGCCAGCGGGAGGCTGGCTCCCCGTGGTTCTGCGCAGGGCCATGCATCCACAAAGGAATTGGCTCAGGCTCCCTGACTGGGTCCAGAGAATCTCAGGGTCTCCAAATCAGGGCCCACTGGGAGCAGCCCAGCAGCTGCAGGCTACCGACCCTGGTCACCTCTTCGTTTTGGATGGGGTGGGGGCAATAGTTTGGTTGGTTTTGTTTAAAGGCGAGGACTGTGATGGTGTCTTTTCGGCCCCTTCCCCCAGAAGGGCATCCGTCCTTCAGCTGCTGATCCAGGTGGGGCCCGGCACCTGTAGCCCGGCCCCATGGAAGTGGAGAGCTGGCATCCTTTCCTCTGATCGGTTGGCCTCTCCTTTTCTTCCGATGTAACTACTCACGAGGCCTAACTTAGAACCCCGTGCGGGAAATGGAAGGGAAGTGACTGTGGAAGCTCACGTCACCCCCCACCCTCCCACACCCCCCCGCCCCCGACTGGGCAGCTGCCACCAACTTTCCTTCCCTCCCTCCCCAAGTTGGGGTAGTAAGTTGTGAGAGGCACAGGGCCCTCCGTAGACCCCCACCCCATCTGGGCCCCCAGCTTCAGGGGTGCGGTGGTGTTGGGCTTCCCCACACTTCAGACTCCTGGACCCCTGGGCTGCAGGGCTCCCTGAGCAGGGGGGCGAGGAGGGACCAGCCAGTCCTGCATTGACTCGGACGGGTGAGGACCCGGGAGCAACTCCTCTAAGCTGGGGACTGCGGCAGCCAGGGAGCCCTCTGGGACACGGTTGGCGGAGGCCCAGATCCTGGGGGTCCGGGAAGTCAGTGCCCCTGGAGACACGTCCATTCAGGTGCAGTGGGATTGTGGACCCCCCCCCAATAGCCTCTGAATGGAAGGCCAGTCCCCTGGCCTCCTTGAGGCCCAGCTGGCCAGCCACTCCCCATGGGCGGGGGACACCCCAAGACAAGCTCTGGGCCTCATTTCACCTTCCTGCCCCCTGGAACCCAGCTCCGAAGGGAACTCAGGGTCAGCCTGAGTGGGGCTGGGGGCAGGAATGAACCCAGATTCTGACAAGTAAAGTAGGGAATTAAGCCTGAGGGTGGAGCAGGGGAGGCCACTGCTGTGGAGCCATGGTCCCTCACAGCCACGCGTCAGCACTCACAGCTGTGGGGACCGCCTGCTTCGCTGTGGGTCAGGGGAGAGGTGAATGCGGAGCCCCCGGCCTCGGGAGAGACGGTGTCCAGTTTTGTCAGTGCTGGGAGGGCCTGTGAGCAGCCCCTTCTCACCCCGGAACTTCATGTCCAGCGCCCCCCCCATCCTGCCCTGGCCTAGTCACGCATTCCTTCGACAGATGGATTCACTGCCCTGTGCCTAGTACTTTGAGGTGTTTTGAGGGGACACCAAGACAAGAGCGACCTGAGGAGCTGCCCCTCCAGTAAGGAAGAGCTTTGTCCTCGGGAAACCCCGGAAGCAAGGCAGGCCTGGGGTGGGACTCTCCCAGGCAGGAGGGCCACCTGGGCTGGGGTGGTCGGAGGAGGCTGTGAGGGCAAACATGGAACTGGCTCCTGGAGGACACTGGGGGATCCCGGAGCTGTGTGGACAAAGGCGGGGAGACAGCGGGGACTTGGGGTGCCCCTGTGCAGGCTGTTCCGGGATAGGCTAGTGGCCTGAGAGACCTGTGGGGGGGCGGGTAGGGGGCGCCGGGGGTGTCTGGCGGCAGAGTCGGGGTCTGGGGACTGGCGGGTCCCCGCCCGCTCCGCAGCCTCTCGCCGCGCCGCCCCGCCCCGCCCCGCCCCGCCCGCGCCCACTCGGAGGCCGGCTGCGCTTCTCGTTTATTCAGGGAGCCGCTCAGCGCGGGGCTGGAGGGAGGCGCTGGGGTGCCCGCGCTGGGCGGCGAGGGCCAAGCGAGGTCCGGGCGCGGGGTCGGGGCTCACGCGCTCTGACAGTCGGCCGCGCGCAGCGACAGGAAGACGTCCGCCTGGCACTGGAAGGTGGCGCGGCCGTCGGGGAGCCGCTCGCAGCTCCGCAGCTTCGGGGACACGTCCTTGACACACACGGCCTGGGGGCGGGAGGAGGCTGAGGGTCCTCCCCGCGCGCCCCCCGCGTCCCGCGCGCGCAACCCCCCCCCCCGGACCCCCGACCCCCGCCCGCCCCGCCGGCCGCACTCACGAGGCTCCGCAGGCGGGGACGCGGCTCGACGACGGCGCCCGCCCGGCCCGGGGGTCCCGCGCTCGCTGGGGGCTCGGAGCGGCGCGCGTGCGGGGACCTGCGGAAGCCGGACAGCAGCCCCGCCGCGCGGCCCACAGAGTAGGAGCTGGGCCCCGCCGCCGGCTTGTACCACGCGAGGCCGGCTGGCGCCAGCAGCAGGCACAGCGCCAGGGCGGCGGCCACCAGCGTCGCGGGCCGGGCCATGGGGACGCGGGCGGCGGGCGGGCGGGAGGCGGGGCTCGGAGCCGCGGCGGCGGCCGCCTTATATCTGCGGAGCGGGGCGCGGGGGCGGGCGCAGAGCGGCCGTCGGGCCCCCCCTCTCGCGGCAAGAAGCCGTGCCTCCCGTGCGGGGGGGCCAGCGCCTGTCGGGGGGATCCGACGCCCCCATCCTCCCCGCCCCTGCCGGCACCTTCCGGGAGCGGGGGGCGATGCTGCGCCCCCTGCCCAGGGTCCTGCCTGGATAGGGCCTCAGTGCGAGCAGGGGGCAAGTGGGGCAGCAACTGAGCCCCCAACTAGCCCTAGGGCGCCCCAGCCCTAACAGTTACCACCCCCCCCACCCCTCCTACGTCCTCGGTGCTCATGAGGCTGGGGAGAGACGACTGTGCCCAGGCAACACTTTCTCCTGCCCTAAAGGGGATCTGATTCCAGGGCCGGGGCTTCTTTTTTATTTTTATTTTTATTTATTTATTTATTTATGAGAAAGAATGAGATAGAGCATGAGAGGGGGGAGGGGCAGAGGGAGAAGCAGACTCCCCGGTGAGCAGGGAGCCCGATGCGGGACTCGATCCCGGGACTCGATCCCGGGACTCCAGTATCATGACCTGAGCCGAAGGCAGACGCTTAACCAACTGAGCCGCCCAGGCGCCCGGGCCGGGGCTTCTTGAGGAGACATCAGAGTCTGAGTGGGCCTCAGGGCCACATTGTGTTTCACACCCATGGGGGAAGCTTCTACTAACAGGGTTACTACTGGTGGGGTCCTTTAGGAGGAGGTGGACGGCAAGGCCAGGCCTGACCTCTGGAAACCGGACCAAAGGACAGCTGACAGGAACCCAGAGGCCCCTCCCACCCAGCTCTGCCCTCAGGATGGCTGCCCTCGGGAGCCTCAGGCCTTCTCTCCTGAACACCTGTGTTCAACAGGCGATGAATCAGACCCAGTCCCTGACTCAAGCCACAGCCAAATGGGAAAACACAGCTGGCTGGAGCCACTCACCAGAGGGGAAAATAAGGGAGCACTAGGGGGGCCGGAGGGGGGGGGGGTAACGGGAAGCCAGGGGAGTGTTTGCAAAGGCAGGTGGTGTGAGCCTGTGCGTCCTGGGGGGAGGGAGAGCGGGCTGAGGTTCTGGAGTCCTGAGAAGACCCTGCAGGGGCCCTGAGCTTCCTGGGAGGAGACAGACGGCTGGACGCGGACAGGACCTGGTGGGCAACTGCACGGCCAGCTTGAGGCCAAGCAGGCCCTGCAGGGACCAGGCTGGAGCCCAGGACACGCAGTGCGGAGGAGTCCAAGCGGCAGGAAAGTAGGCAGTCTACAGGAGGGGCCATGACCTTGAGCAAGTTGACGCCTCTGAGAATGAGGACATCCACCCCAAAGGGCAAGGCCAGAAAGCCTGCCAGGCTGCACTCAGGGTCTGATGCCCCAGGCACACAGTCCTAGGTCACAGGAGAAAACCCCCAGGCAGGGGAGGTGGGGCGGGGGGGGGGGGGGCCAGGATGAGGTCAGGAAACTCCAGGATGCTACAGGGCCGCCATGCTGCCCCAAGGGGCCTTCTGCAGGGCCGCAGACCACTCCTAGTGGGCTGTGAACTCCTCCCTGGGACTCCTCGGATCCGAAGACATTGTAGACACAAAGCCTCAAGAATACGGAGCAGCCGCCCAAACCCAGAAGCCAGACCTAAGTTTGTTTGCAGGGCTGCTGGGAGCACCCCAGGGGCTGAGCCCAGGCCCCAGGGGTACCAGGTGCAGCTGCCGGAGGACGTGGGCCACGGGGCTTGCTCAGGCACCCCTCCTCCCACTCACACCTCACACTCCCTAAACACCCTGGACACAATGTGTCTTCCTTTGGGTGTATCCTCCCAGGACAGATCCCGGCCCCGGGCCCTGGCAGCTGGGTTTCTGGACACAGGGCATGTGACCTCCAGCTTGGGGAAGGGTGATGGTCCCCAGGGCTTCCTTCCCTCTGGGCACAACATCCAGACAGCAAGTAGGGAGCCCCAGAGGTGACTGACCAGGAGGCCAACACCCGGGTGCCGAGGACAAGCAGTGTCGGAGTGCTCAGCAGCTGGCCACCCACGAGGCACAGGGCAGTGATCCCCAAGGGGTGTCCCTTGAGAATGGAGTGGAAGGAACCAGTGCCAAGTGATTCCTTGCAGCTCACAGGGACATGCAGCCTGCAGCAGTCTGTCCAGTAGTAGCCAAGACTCCCAGGGCTAGGGCCATGGCCCCCACACGCCACCCTCCAACCTGGAGCTGTGGACGAACAGAGGTGCCCAAAGGAGCCTTCCACAGGCTGTTCTCTAAGTAGAGGACCTCAGACACCTGGGGACACAGATGGCCTTGACATCTGAGTACGTACACGGAGTACGTCACAGCCCAGACGCTCAAGCTGGAACAAGGGAGAAGGGACTGAGATCACCAGCACCTGCTCAGGGACGGCCTTTCAGCAGAAGGGACCGCGGGCAGCAGCTGCTAGCCGTGCCGGGTCAGGGGCGCACGGACCAGTCTGCGAGGCAGGCCCTGGCTTCAAGGTGAGTGGCCTTCGTGCCACTGTTGCTTCGTTTCCCCTGTTGGCACACACGCCTCTGCACCACCAGGCCTTTCAAGCCCCCAGAGCCAGTTACTCTGGCCCCAGGCTCTTCTGGCTGATCCTACGCTCCTTCTCCTCCTGGGATTGTGACTCAGAGCTTTGGTGGCATCTCATCAAGATGTTTATTCATGAGTTTTCCTATCAACGCACGGCGAGGCAGCATCAGGACCAAGAAAACAGGCACCCAGAGGCCTCCAGCAAGGTTCAGGTAATTTAATGAGTTTTACTTATTGGATAAAGTGTCACCATTTGAAGGAAAACAAACGCAGCTCCAGTCCTTGTGACAACCCTGTCACCGCCCAGAGGGGGGCCATCCCAGGGGAGAGCACGGCTGGCCAGTCCACGGCTGGGGCTTGGGGGTGCCTCACTCCTTGAACTTCCACTCCTGGCGGCACATGGGACAATGCTGCTGCACCTGCTGCGCGTTGAGCCACTTGAGGATGCAGTGCATGTGGAAGCAGTGGGAGCACTGGCCCCACACCAGAGGGCAATCGTCACCCGGGACCTTGCCTGCGGGAGGGGGCGAGAGCATCACGCCAGTCACACAGGGCGGGGACAAGCTAACCGGGGGCCAAGGCCCAGGGCCTGAGGATGTCAGGCGCCTGTGCCAGCCCACTGCAGCCCGGGGGCGTTGTGTCCAGAGCCTCCCACACCTTGTTTCAGGAAAGATGGGAGATCAGGAGTGTGAGCACGCTGTGCAGGACACGCACGCACGCACACACACAGGCCTGCAGTGGTGGCCCTGACTCTGCCCTCCCCCGCTGCGAGGGGGTGCTCGGCTGCAGGGAGGGCTCTGGCCTAGCCCACGGTCCCTGCCGCCCGGGGTCTGGACCCATCTACAGATGCACCACAGCTTTGCCACTTCACCTGGGACACCAAGGCTCCAGCACCAACGTCTGGGGACACCCCGCTCCCCCGCCATCTGAACAGGGAACTCTTTCTTCCGATCAAGCGTAGGAGAGCTGGCACCTTGGGACTGAGGCTCCTCTTCTAAGCAGCAGGGACTCAGTACAGTGGAAGGGGTGGTGTTTACGGCCCCACCTGTCAGCAGCCGGGAGTGAGCACGCTGCTACCTTCACTTCTTTTTCATTTCTGGGCTGAAAGGGCCCCACCTCCAGGGCCCAGGGCACATGCTGCTAGCACTCCACTCCACGTGCATGGACGTGCTACCTCCATGGGTGGGTACAGGGGGGACAGCCACACTGCCCGTAATCAGAAGAGGATAGGGGCCCCTGGGTGGCGGAGTCGTTAAGCGTCTGCCTTCGGCTCAGGTTGTGATCCCAGGGTCCTGGGATCGAGCCCCGCGTCAGGCTCCCTGCTCTGCAGGAACCTGCTTCCCCCTCTCCCACTCCCCCTGCTTGTGTTCCCTCTCTCGCTGTGTCTCTCTGTCAAATAAATAAAATCTTTAAGGGAAAAAAAAAATAGAAGGGTCTCTGATTTCTTCTGATTTCGAGGAGCAAGAAATTCCCATCAAACAGCTGGTGCCAACAGAGCACAGTGACCTCCCTCAGGCTGTGTCAGGGTCCCCACAGGCACTGAAGTGCCGTGGCTTGCTGCCTCCACCCCTCCTGGGGGTGCCATCCCCTCCATCGCTGCCCTGGGGGTCCTCTACACCTATGGAACGCTAACTGTACCCCCAATGTCACTGATGCACAAACACCAGATAGACAAGCCAGGGTCAGACAAATAGGGCACCTCGTCCCAGCAGCAGCTCCAAGTCAACACACGTCCTAGATGTGAGCTGGGGGCTCCTCGCAGGACAGAGACTGCCTCTGGACCTCTGTGACCACCATCCTTCCTCAACACCAAACACAGGATGCTCAATCCTGCGAATAATACCACAGACAACACAGTGCTCCCACCTGGCACCTGTTCCTCGCTGACCGAGTGGCTGGGAACCTTGTGGTGCTCTGAGCCAACCTAGCCGCGCTCGGAAACTTTCACGTCACCCCTCTGGCTGGACAGGAGGCCTGGGCACGCAGTCCATCGGGGCACCTGCCACTTCCAGAGGGCAGCATCCCAGCCACTTGGCTCATGTGGGCGCCAGGTCAGGAACACACGTGGGCTCTTCGGTACCCTTCCACGTCTATTGAAAGCATGCAGTTCCGCAACCCCGAGCAGTCCCTGCCCCGCAGGGGTGCCTGCATCCCACCAAGTCAGGACAACTACCACTACGTCTTTTTATTCACTTGTTTGGGGTGGTGTTCTTCAGTCTTTTAAAAAATCTTTTTTGTAACAAAACATCACTGCCTCTCTGAAACTTTGACGACAAAACAACTAGAAAAGTATATACTTAGAAAAGTATATACTTGGCTAATACAGAATTACTATACTCACTCTGCTTCCCCAGCCACTGGGGCAGGGGGCGGGGGGGCTGAGACCCTGTGCCAGGAGAGCCCACTAGGTGTGACACCTGACTGAGGTTACATCCCCCTCACCCCCAGGGCCTTCCTGAGCCCAGCAGAACTCAGCTTGGAATCAGAGTGCCCTGCAAGGAGAGGATACACTGGTGGGGGGCAGGGGATGCCCTGGTGGCCGCTAACGGGGAAGTACATAGGCCACACGGTCCATCTGAGGCAAGAGCCATTTCCAGTAATGTCACCAGCAGGCAGCCCGCCTGAGGCATGTGATGAGCACAGGGGCAGTGATGGTGACTCACCCAAGCACTTGCTTGTGTCTTGATGGAAATCCTTCGTCATGAAAACACCTCTCAAAAAGACTTTTACTCCCAAAGATCTCTGGGACTGGGGGTGGATTTATTACAGCCTCAGTCACTCTGGCTTTCTCACAAGAGCTCAATTTTATTTTTTTTATTTATTTATTTTTTTTAAAGATTTTTATTTATTTATTGAGGGACAGAGTGATAGAGAGAGAGCATGAGAGGGGGAGAGTCAGAGGGAGAAGCAGACTCCCTGCCGAGCAGGGAGTCCGATGCGGGACTCGATCCTGGGACTCCAGGATCATGACCTGAGCCGAAGGCAGTCGCTTAAACAACTGAGCCACCCAGGCGCCCCAAGAGCTCAATTTTAGCAAGAGAAACCCAGTGTCACCTCATCCGTGTAAAGATCACTAGGCTTGTCAGACACTTGGGCACATTACGACTGGCTCTCAAATTTGACCTTGGGTCTGAAGATCAGGCTCTAAACTCCCTACTCCGTGGCCGACAGACCCCCCTCCGCAAAACCTGGGCACACTGGCAGGTGCAGAGATGCCAACCACAGGCCCTGCTGCAACAGCAGCAGCTGGGCGCCCAGGCTTTGCGCCCGCGCCATCCCGACCACACCCCTCACTCTCCCACAGCCAGTGTAGGCAGGACTTCTCTAGGTGCTCATCCAGGATCCCACAGCCTTTGCTGTGTCCCTAAGGAACCATTTAAGAGTGATTTAAAGTAGGTTCAAGAAAACCAGATCCTGAGTTGCTACTAAATAAAACTTAATCAACTAGAACCAGTCAGTGATCTCCTGAGATTACATCCCACCCATTTGAGTAAATCAGGACGGATTAAGTCCTGGGAGATGAGATTTCCTTTCAGCCAAAGCAAATGTGAAGATTAAGCCTAAAATATGGGGCGCCTGGGTGGTTCAGTCGTTAGGTGTCTGCCTTCGACTCAAGTCATGGTCCCAGGGTCCTGGGATCGAGCCCCACATCGAGCTCCCTGCTCAGTGGGAAGCCTGCTTCTCCCTCTCCCACTCCCCCAGCTTGTGTTCCCCTCTCTCACTGTGTCTTAAAAAAAAAAAAAAGATGTAAAGCCCTACTGGGGCGCCTGGGTGGCTCAGTCGTTAAGCATCTGCCTTTGGCTTGGGTCATGATCCCAGGGTCCTGGATCGAGCCCCGCGTTGGGCTCCCTGCTCGGCGGGGAGCCTGCTTCTCCCTCTCCCACGCCCCCTGCTTGTGTTCCCTCTCTCACTCTCTCCCTAATAAATAAATTCTTAAAAAAAAAAGTAAAGCCCTATTATTATCCTGGGCACTCACCTGACCCCAGAAATGAGGCCTCATCATTCACAGGACAGAGTGGCCCCTCAGTATACCCCATGTCCTGTTTTCCTCTTGGGACTGCCCTTGCCCCCCCAAGAGTCAACTCACTTCTGTTCAAGTTCACTCGGGTTTGGCTAAAAACAAAATTCACTGGTGCAAAAATGTGTTTTTGACTTAAAAATACACTCAAAGCGTTTCTACTTCACAGAACATAATGGGAACAAAGATGAATCAAAAACCACCACAAAGAAAAAATCTGATAAAACCTGGTCAGACACCTTGAAAAAGCTGCGGCAGCATGGAAGGGCTTGTTCTATGTTAATATTGAATAGCCAGGGCAGAGCAAAGCAAGCAATCGTGGATCCTGCTCACACCACGCAGAGAAGAGACATCTTTGGACAACGGCAAGAATCTAAGCAAGGACTAGGAATGGGGGTGACTCTAGGGACTCATCGTCACGTCACCTCTGATGTGACAGCACTCCCCGTAAAAAGTCGGGAGTTACTTGTAGAGACTCAGCTGAAGTGGAACCAGGGGTCCTAGTTAGCGGTTACCAAACCATGAAGCAAAGATGGAGAGGTCCCTTAGCCGTTGTGACCCTGTGTGCCAGGTGAGGGGAGGGGTAGCCCTACAATATCCTGGGTTTTGTTCGATTGAGAATCTTCAAACACAGAGTTCTAACATATCTTTCTGGCCCATGGACTTTGACCACAACAAAAGGCGACATCGCTTTTTCTTAGAAAACTTTTGATGAGCTCTTTATACAAACATGGGCCCAAACCACCTGGCTTTCTCGTGTCAACTTTTCTTGAGAAAAGGGACACCAAAACCCAAGCTCTTTGTGCAGGTATTTCTGGGGAGATGGTACAGCCAGGCCGGCAGGCAAAGCTCAACAGGGAGGGAACACCGGGTACACTCACAGTCCGGGCAGCATCCATTAAAGGCCATCCGGCAGATGCCACAGTTCTCGTCGTTGGCCACCCAGAGCCAAGTGGCCACACCATTCCAGCACTTAATCTTCACCTTCATGACGGCGGAGTCTACAGGCTGAGAGAAAGAGGTCAGGGGGCTACACTTAGTCTGCACAGCTACAGCATCTAGGCACGAAAGGGGCGCGGCTCTGAGCCCAAGGTTCAGCACGGGCTGGGACTGCTGCCAGAGCCCTGAGAAATCCGGACGGACAAGCACAAATTCGTCAGCACGGACGGCGGGGACAGGGCCCGGGTGCCCCTGGGGGGACAGAGCGCCCCAAGAGGGAGGCTCCCTACACATTCAGGGTATCTACAAAGACTGCACGGTCTGCCCTGCGTCCACGAAACGGAGCATGGGCTTTCACCAATAATTGCAAAAACGTACCGTCCGGTGCTTTTCAAAGGGTTATGACTAACTTAGGGTTCACAGAGAGACCCCAACCCAGCTGACTACGAGTTCACACCACGGAGCAACCACCCAGCACGCTCAGCCTGCGGCCCCCGTCAGCGAAGATTTGGTGGGCGAACGCCGCCGCCACCACCACGGGACAAGAGTGCGGAGGACGGGGATGCAGGTCGGGACCAGGGCGCGGGGAGACGGCCAAGTGCCGGGAAGGGGTGGGGTGCGGGGAAGGCACGGGAGCGCGGGGGGAGAGTAGGGGGCGGGGCGCGGGTTAGGAGAGACGGTGCGGCGGGGGGGAGTCGCGAGAGCGCGGGGAAAGGGTGGGGTGGGGGCGCGGGGAAGGGGTGAGGTGTAGGACGGCGCAGGGGCCCGGGGAAAGAGGGTGAGGGAGAAGGCGCGGGAGCGCGAGGAGAGGGTGGGGCGCGGGACGGGGCGCAGGCTCCGTCTTGGGGAGAGGGTGGGGCGCGGGGAAGGCGCGGGGTGGGTGCGCGGGGGAGAAGGGCAGGTTCAAGGCACGGGGCGGGCAAGGGCGGGGGAGGGGCGGCGCGCCCCGTCCCGCCCCAACGGCCGCGCTCCGCCCCGCGCTCTCGCACCTCCGCCGGCTTAACCTCGCGCTGCCCCGCCCGCCTTCCGTTGGCAGCGCCCGCGCGGGAAGGTATAAAAACGACCGGCCACTGCCCGGCACCTTAACAGCAGCGCTCGCCTAACTCAGTCCCTAGCGCGCACGCGCCGCCCTGCCCTCACCGCCCACTCGTAGCCAATCCCGGGGCTCTCCAAGCACTCGGCACCGGAAGACAGCGCGCGGCTCCGGAAGTGACGCGCCGGCGTGCTGACGCGCGGGCTCGAGCCGAGGCCGATTCCGCGCCCGCCATGGCCGACAAAATGGACATGTCTCTGGACGACATCATTAAGCTGAACCGGAGCCAGCGAGGCGGCCGCGGCGGAGGCCGGGGCCGCGGCAGGGCCGGGTCCCAGGGCGGCCGTGGCGGCGGAGCGCAGGCCGCCGCGCGAGTGAACCGAGGCGGCGGGCCCATTCGGAACCGGCCGGCCATCGCCCGCGGCGCGGCGGGCGGCGGCGGCAGGAACCGGCCGGCGCCCTACAGCAGGGTGAGTGCGGAGGCGGCGGGCCGCGGCGGGCAGCGGGCCGGAGGGGCGGCGCGCGGCGGGCAGGATGGCGGGCTGCGCCGGGCCGGTGGGCGCGGGCGCCTGCCGGGCGGGCAGGTCGCGCGCGGGCCGGGCCCGGGAGGCGGAGACCCTCCCGGCCTTTGTCTCGGCTGGGCGCCGGGCCTCGTGGCGGCGGCGGCCGAGGGGACGTTGGGCGCGGCCGCGCGGGCGGCGGGAAGTTGGCTGGAGGGAACGGAGGAGCTGCGGGACCGTGGGGTCCCGCCGGGTCGGCTGCGGCCTGACGCGGCGTGGGCGGGAAGGGGAGAGCTACCCGTCCCTGCGTTTCCCTCCCGGCCCGGCGCGGAGAGTGTTGGCTGTGAGGGCGAGGGGGAGTCTTGAAGAGACACTCACGGGTCTGTGTCTGTTCTTGTGGTTTTTTTCTTCTCCAGCCGAAACAACTTCCTGACAAGTGGCAGCATGACCTTTTCGACAGCGGCTTTGGGGGTGGCGCAGGCGTGGAGACTGGTGGGAAACTGCTGGTGTCAAATCTGGATTTTGGAGTGTCCGACGCTGATATTCAGGTAAGGGACGGGAGTTTCCCGGTGAGCACTTGACCCTCGCCGAATGGGTCCTGTCCGGGATGTGGTCTTGAATCCCCTCCCACCTTAGGACAGTGAGCCCTCCCGGGCGCCCAGGGCCGGCCCCGTCCCCTCTAAGGGGTGCAGGAATGCAAGCAGAGGTCATACTGTAGTTGAAAGTCCGACAAGTAGGTCAGTGTGTTGGAAGACAGGAGCCCAGCTTAGCGTGAGGAGCTGCTGCTCTTCCTAAGATGCGTTCTGTAAGTGAAAATCCTCTGCTGGAGCTTTCCGTTCCTAGCGCGAAAGATTGGCCTAATGTGAGCGTTCCTTGTGTTACTGACTCACCTAGGATGCTCGGTTTTTGTTTATTTTGTACTTGTTTTAATGATTTGTTGGGAGGAGAAAGATCTTTTTCTGTGGAAATTTATAAGCAAAGCACAGAAGCAGGATGGTGCTGGGCATCTTTCCTGCTCCATTTGCCTTGAGCCCCAAGCTCCGTGTCTTACGGAACTTGTGCCTTGTTTTTCCCGTGGTCTTTTTAGTGGCATGATTCTCAAACTCAACTTTGGTTGAAGCTTCTTTTTTTGTTGTTTTGTTTGGGGTTTTTTTGTTTTCTGTTTTTTGGGGGGGGGTGTTTCTGTTTTTTTGGGGTTTTTTTGTTTTTGTTTTTGTTGTTTTGTTTGAATTCCAAAGGCATATAAACTTGTTTTCTGATTAAGTAAAGACATCTTGGGGATCAGTCCCAGAGATGGCTGGGTCAGGGTGCTGGGCCTTCCTGGTTCAATTTCCCGGAGCCCAGCTATTTGTTTGACTACCGTGGGAGGACAGAGCAAGGCCGGTGAGCACTCACGGTGTCTCAACACTTTTTTTAAGGTGGTTTCTGGCATCCACTGGAAACCGCTTTTGGTGAACTCCTCTTCCCGCTGTGTGCCTGCGGCCGGAGTAGCCCCACACCCCGGGTTCCCTCTCCAACTCCCAGCCTGCCTGAGGTCAGGGCGGTTTCCATGGCAGCGCTTGACTTCAGCCTTTGCGGCAGGCTTGAGTAGGAGGAGAGGGAAAGGTGAGCCAGAACCTGCCCTGGGGGAGGGGCTGGGTCAGGGCTCCCGAACCGCCGGGCCCTGGGAGCTGGTCCACGTGTTGGATAGCATCCCTTGCTCTGCAGTCTTGGCCTTTGCTGTTTCTTGGTACAGTCCTTGGGTGTGTTGTCAATTTTCCGCTGTTGGAGAAGATAGCGACTTACTCTTGTTCCCTTCACTGGTGGGCTCTGTGGTCCTTTACCTGCATCCTGGGACAGATGTAAGGTCCCCGCACTGGCAGGAGCCCTCAGGCCCAGCTGCTCCAGGAAGTTGCTGTCCCATCTGCCCCTCCCTTCCCCTGGTTTCCACTACCACTGCCCTGTCCCCATACGTGTCTGCCTCCCAGGGAAATGACCCCAAAGCATTTCACACTGCCAGGGAACTGCCCTGGGCCACCAGAAGGGAAGCCCCTTCACTAACAGCTGCTCTTTCCGGCCTCCAGGAGCTCTTCGCTGAATTCGGGACTCTGAAGAAGGCGGCTGTGCATTACGACCGCTCCGGGCGCAGTTTAGGAACAGCTGACGTGCACTTTGAACGGAAGGCAGACGCCCTGAAAGCTATGAAACAGTACAACGGCGTCCCCCTGGATGGTGCGTCTGAGGTTGGACCCAGGATGATGGCGGGGCTGCGTCTCGTTTGTGGATTCTGGGGCTGGCAGCCATCCGTGCAGGAGTATGGCTTATCCTGTGGCTGAGGACACTTTGCATTCGCCCCTTTGTCTCTCTCTTCCATTCTGCCACCTCTCATGCTGCCCCACACATCTGGACCAACCTCTTGTGAACCCCCATCCAGCAAGCTACATCCCTCCCCTCCTTCAGCTCCTTCCGGAAGACTCACTTCTGTGAAGCCTTCTCAGAACCGCCATAGTACACCTCTGAGTGCGGGGCTGTAGTCGTAAAGACAAAGGTACCGGTTCTTCTTCCGTCAGGCCACCCACAGCTTTCCACCCATGAGCACCCCGGACACCTGGCCAGACACCCGCCTAGCCCGGACCGAGAAGGAGCGAGGAGGTTTCCGGTGGGGTTGTCACTGGCAGCACCTCGTTCTCCCACCGGTATCGCTCGGCCGCTCGGCCGCTCCCCTTGTTGGGAGCCTTGGAGACACACAGAGCCCCTTTCCGGTGCTTGCATGGAGACCGGGGTGTGGCACCCCCTTGGTGCATCTCAGAGCCCTCTAACTGGGGCACCTCTTGTATTCTCTGCCGCAGGCCGCCCCATGAACATTCAGCTCGTCACGTCACAGATTGACACGCAGCGGAGACCCGCGCAGAGGTGAGCTCCGGGGCTGGGGGGCCACGTGGGCCTGGGGGCGCTCGTCCTGCAGGCCCTTCTGCAGCACGTGAGTGGGTTCCCTCTTCCCTGCCAGTGTAAACAGAGGCGGGATGACTAGAAGCCGTGGCTCTGGGGCTTTCGGCGGCGGCACCCGGAGAGGCACTCGTGGAGGAAGCCGGGGCCGAGGCAGAGGCACCGGCCGGAGTTCAAAGCAGCAGCTTTCTGCAGAGGAGTTGGACGCGCAGCTGGACGCTTACAACGCGAGAGTAAGTCCCGGGCCAGGGGCGCTGGGGGGTGGACGGGGACCGACCGGAAGCATGGGCCTCCTCTTGAGTGAGCGGTTTTCATGTGCGTTTCAGATGGACACCAGTTAAGGAGAGCAGCAGACCCTCGAGTGGAGCAGGACCCAGATGTCTCCTCCGTGCTCCCTGGTGGGAGGGGGCCGTGGACTGGGGCTGTGCAGCCAATGATGGATTTGTTTCTTTTGTGTTTTAAAATAGGATTTAAAAACTCATGTAAAGGTTTTTTTTTCTTTCCTTTTTTTTTTTTTTTTTTTTTTTTTAAAATTCTGAAGCAGCCCTGTTTTGTACCGAGTTATTTTTGGGATAAATGTTACCGGTTGCCGTTGTGGGGAAGGTGGTGTTTTCACCTTTGCCATAATAAAACAGAGACGTGTGTGGAACTGGAGCCATGTGACTTGTCCCCTGTCGCAGTCCTTGCTTGGGCCTGACGGGAGCGTGGGGAGCAGTCCCGCCCGTCTCTGCCCCACCTTCCCACCCCCATTACCTGCAGTGTGTGGAGTGAGAGGTGGGTTGTGGCACCCCATGTTGTTGCCAGATTTCAGATGGCCAGGTTGGGCTGTCCCTCTCCTTCTGGTGCTCTGCTTCTCAGAAACAGGGATCAGCAGCCCTGACTTTGCAACATAACCCTCTCCTGTTTCTCTCTTTCACATCAAAGCAGGAGCAAGCCAGCAAGTGTGCCCTTATTTGTGTCCTGGTGAAATGCTAGGGGGAGCTGTGGCAGAGTCGAGTGACGCGCACAGACCTGGAGGGGCTGGTAGACAGCTGCCCCATCTGGACTCCCTCTGGGACAGAAGAGAGCCGGCCAGAGATGTCCCTTGATCACTTGCCCTGCCGTGCTGCTCAGAAGAAGCTGAGATCCCCGTGGGAGGCCGGGCAGGGAGACCCCGCTGACGTCCTCAGGGTTTCCCTTCCCGCTCTGGAGGTGGTGCCAGTTGTGCCTAAAAGCCAGCAAGACCTAGGGGCCCCAGATCTGCGGCCCACAGGCACAGTGTAGGGTGCAGCGGTGGGTGGAAGGGGGCGGTGGCTGTGGAGCAGAGAGATCTGGGAAGGCCGGTGGGCTGTGGAGTGCAGAGCCTCGTGGCGGGACGGCGGGAATGTGCCCTGCAGCTCAGGCTGCTCCCAGGGCGATTTCCACATTGATGGCGGTGCCTTTAACTGCCAGTCCTCCACTGTCGCTGCGGAGCCAGTGGCTGTCGCTTGAACGGCCTGCTTCACACTAGGCACTGGATGGAAAGGTGACTGGCATGACCTGGCTCAGCCCTGGAGGAGCCCAGTGTCACGGGAAGGGATCGGCATGTGCCCGGCCTTGGCTGCCGTGGCTGCAAGGGAGGGATGGGCTTGAGGTCAGATGATCCGGGCACAGTGGGGCGGTGTCCCTGGGAGGTGGTGTCTGGCTGA